ATGTTAAAAAATTAGGTATTTCGGCCTGCGGGATGTCCCTTAAAGGGCAATGCGGCCCAATTGGGCAAAAAGATTGGCCACACCTGCACTAGATGCTGCATGAAGGTCTCGCAAAGAAAAGGCTTTGGAAACTTTCTACTTGAAATGAATGCTATGATAAAACCAGAAAATAGTGCTATCGTTTACGTGAACAGGTCATTATTGGCCACACCTGCACTAGATGCTGCATGAAGGTCTCGCAAAGAAAAGGCTTTGGAAACTTTCTACTTGAAATGAATGCTATGATAAAACTAGAAAATAGTGCTATCGTTTACGTGAACAGGTCATTGAACGGAAAAGTCATTACCGAATGAAGTCGTTTTTTCCATGCAGCGCTTGTGTAAGGAAGTTCATCTCCATGGTCCAGTTTCTTGCGTTCCACCTTCCCCTTCTGAACATTTATGAGGGGGAATGCTCACTCTCTGCTCATCACATCCATGAAGGAGGTTCTCCCTTTCCAGCGCATGGGGACGGAATCCGAGGANAGCTAACTGAAATTTTACATATTGTCTATCTCTGGATTCATGACTTGCCCCTTGAGTACATAGTTCATGAAACGGGAGTTTCCTCCAGGACAGTCGTGGATTGGGCCTCGTTTAGCCGGGAGGTGAGATCTTTTTTCTTGTCATCTCAGGTCATTCCTTAAGTATTTGAGTGGATGTATAAGTCTCTCCTCTATCGCAGGTGTGCATTGAGGAATGCATTTGGAAGGCCGAAAGGATCGGTGGAGAGGGGAAAATCGTGGAGTTGGACGAAAGTAAGTTCGGCAGAAGGAAATACCACCGAGGCCACCATGTCGAGGGTCAGTGGGTTTTTGGGGGCGTGGAGCGGGAAACAGGAAGGTGTTTCCTCGTTCCCGTCAGGGAGAGGAATGCTGAGACGTTACTCCGCCTCATCCGAATCTGGGTTCATCCTGGAACGACGGTTATGACTGATTGTTGGGCTGCATACAATGACATCTCAAAAAGCCAAGATTTCAAACACCTGACCGTGAACCACACACTAGAGTTCGTCAATCACAACACCAATCCACCAACCCATACAAACACCATTGAAGGTTTGTGGCGGCACGCCAAGGTAAGTGTACCAGACTATTCGAGAAAGAAGGCCCATTTTTTGGGGCATTTGGCAAAATTTATGTACCTTCGTAAATTAAAACAGGAGAATGTTGACATCTTCAAGCGCTTCATGGATGATGCTTTTGCTCTCTTCAAGGATGGCAGAAAGCATCCCAATTTGGATAAGGTTGATGACGAGAAGAAGTGGATGCTGCAGTACCTCGGTGTCCTAGCTGTGAGTTGCATATTCCTGTTTCCCTACTTTGCTGCACATAACTTTCGACATTTACAAGAATCATTAACTTATTCTCCCTTCAGGACAGTGAAGACTGTGAGGAGGATACCGAGGACGACAGCAGCAGCCACTGATCTGATTCAACCATTTCCAGATTGGGATTCATCCATGGAGCGCTGCTTAAATGGAATACCTTAGCCTGCCGTACTACTTCTCGGACATGGGTTTGGTATGATTGGCGAACGACATTCAGGTATTGGAAGTGGTCCGGTTTTCGGACTTTCTTTGGTGCAGCCCGATCATCACTCATCACTCTCGGTCCAGGATTATCCATTGAGGCGGAGGCGTTGAGTTCCTCTCCATTCTTGACCCACATGCAACTCCCTCCCGAATCTAGAGATCTAACGGTGGATGGCATGGTGGACCTGGTGTGACTTTTTCTTCTGAACTTACCCTTTCCCAACTCCACTAGTTCCAGCTCTTCATCGATCTATGCTTCCGACTGTCCTGACCTCTAGCAGGAGACTTCCATGCCACGAATCCAAAGATATTCTCTTTGGACGCTGTAACTATTATTATACTTTAATCATTTCTCTTCATAGAATCCTTCCTGCTGGGCAAATTCCTTTGAGTCTGGTTTTCTTCTGTTCATTTGTTGAATATGTTATAATAATGATATTTTCATTGCATTCACCCTACGCCTCGTGACTGTAAAGCTTAATCTTTTACAGTAATTGAAAGTTTCTTGACTTCATTTTATGTTTTTTTGTGTAGCCATTCATGAATCAGGACTTCTCCCTGTTTAAAATTTCCCCTTGCAAGCCAACATGTAATACTGAGCAATAAACGAAGCACTGCATTTGGAATGATTACCTTTAGATCCATGAAAGAGAGAAAAAGGGAGGTTGTAGAAGACCGTGTATCGATGAAAGAGGTAGGTCTGCCAGGGGGGCAATCAGAGGGAGAACATGCCAAACTAATATGATTCTGACCCATCTGCTAGAGAGGGAAAACTTCCTTCATGGATGTAATGAGCGGAGGATGGGCATTTCCCACAATAATTTGTGGCCAGAGAAGGGTGCAAGGGAAAGAGAAATAATACGAAATACCCTTTCCAGCCTGGCATGGAAATAACTTTTTTCCCGCATCACTTCCATTGCCCGATCTGTGTGTGACAAATGCGAGATGCAAAAATGCTTTTGCATGCAGACAGGGTTCATCAATAGTTAGATCCCCATCCCTCTACCGCAAAGAGATAATGGCGTCAATCTAACAACAACGTCAAACCATGTAGAACAAATAAGTAACACATGGGATTATGCTTCAATTTGAAAAAATTAAGTATAAACACTGTTTGGCATTTTTTTTGCAAATTGACGTAGCTGGACTAAGGTGATACTCAACGATGAAGGAATGTGACTCTAGTAACAGCGACTTCTCCCACGCATGGGTTCATACACTAGAACAGGGGTGCCCAAGCTACGGCTCGCGGTGCTTCCCGAATATTATTGCATATGTAATATTAATGTTAAAAAATTAGGTATTTCGGCCTGCGGGATGTCCCTTAAAGGGCAATGCGGCCCAATTGGGCAAAAAGATTGGCCACACCTGCACTAGATGCTGCATGAAGGTCTCGCAAAGAAAAGGCTTTGGAAACTTTCTACTTGAAATGAATGCTATGATAAAACCAGAAAATAGTGCTATCGTTTACGTGAACAGGTCATAGAACGGAAAAGTCATTACCGAATGAAGTCGTTCTTTCCATGCAGCGCTTGTGTAAGGAAGTTCATGGTCCAGTTTCTTGCGTTCCACCTTCCCCTTCTGAACATTTATGAGGGGGAATGCTCACTCTCTGCTCATCACATCCATGAAGGAGGTTCTCCCTTTCCAGCGCATGGGGACGGAATCCGAGGAACAGGCCCCAGAAGGGAAAAGTTTTCTTTAAAGCCCGAAATGGGCAGAATGTAACCATTCCCCCTGAAGGCATTTATATCTACAGGGTGGCCCCAAAAAGGGCACTCTTTTCAACGCTCATTTTCGGCGTGATGCTTTCAAGGATATTTCTTCTGGTTGAAAGTAACGGGAAGAAGGAAGATTCAGCTACAAAATGCTTTTCTCAGACTTGAAATATCTTGTAGGATGACCTAGAAGAAAATGATTGAATATCTGTTACTAAAAGTCGGCATTGCGCTCACCGACCGCATACGGTAGCAGGCACATCCAATCAGCCTCGCGACGTCTGTTTAGGTCAGCGTTTCCCTTCATCTTCTCCTGAGTGCAGGGACGTCGAGTGAATGCTGGGTCGAGTTGGCGAGCGCAACGCCGATTTTTGGTAACCGAAATTCAACCAAAATTTTCTAGGGCATCCTTAAAGATATTTCAAGTCTGTAATTTCCTGGATGACTCTTTTTCGCCCTTCATAAAGATCGGTACGACGTTTGTTAGTCTCCAGTCCTTAGGTACTTCCCCGCGCGAAAAGCTGCTTTCGAATATAATTCTTAGCGGAACCGATATTTCTCTCGCGGTTTCCTTAATGACTCTCGCAGGAATCCCATCGGGGCCGGTCCCCTTGCCCACCTTTAACTTCCCTATCATGTTCACGTTGAAAAGAGTGCCATTTTCTTTGGACCACCCTGTATATGGGGGAACAAGGAAATCGGTCCAATGTCTCCCCTCCTTCACTTCCTTGCGAGACTGCGCTTCTGCAAGCACAGTCCTTAAGGTAAAGTTTCTTCATGGAATTTCTGCCCCTCTGTCGCCAAGTACTTTTTTTTTTACCACATTATGAATCTAGAATGAAGATCGAAACTGTGAACCATACGCAGAGTTCATGCAAATTTACCAACAATGGAACGGATGGGTCCAGGTCTCCCTTTCTCTTAGCAAGGGAAAGTAATGATGAAGATTTCTGGTTTACCAAATTTACGAAAACATTATCCAATAAGTGGTCGGAGTCCTTTTTCAAATTGGTCTTGCGGATGAAGAAGAACCGATAATTTTTTCGACCAGGACAGTTCACACGGATTATTAACGCCATAGAGCCAGTGAGGAGTGACAGAACGGTGTTCGCATAATTCTCGAAGGAAATAAAGGATAAATAATAGAAAGTAGAATCATGCAAGTAATGTGCTCAAGGGACGGAGGAGGGGGGGGGGGGGTAAAGAGAGGGCCTAGGGAGGGACTCGACGAAAACATTGGTGTTCTGTGGCTTAAATACAGCTGCCTATTCACTCACCGACAAACATAAAGTCAAGGTGGCTAGAGAAGGAAATTAAATTAGGGGTGTTAGAGTTTGCAGTGCAGTGATGGAGGACTGACATCTATCGAAAAGGGCATTAACAAACAAATTACCGGATTACCCGTATGCAGACAAAGGCAAGAGACAAAGCAGACAAGATAAAGCAGACAAAGGCAAGAGGAGCGCATGCTAGTAGATGCTTGTGCTGACGTCACATGACACATGATGGCCGCACCAGGTTGCCCAGTGCCAGATGCGCAGCGAATTTGCAACGTTCCTTGTGCAAAAATGCGCACATGCGCCGTTAGGCAAAATTTGGTGATAGTTTATCCGTATTAACATATACATGGATCTTATATCCCCTTTGCCCGAGGAGTGAGTACCAATTGTAAAGTTAAGCCACTAAATAGCCATTTAGATGCCTTTTTTGTTAGGCTTGGACAACAAGGACATAAACAAATACCAAATGAGACAAGGCATAAAGTATACAAGATTTGCACTGGTATGAGGTGAACGTACTTAGGCTGATTTTCCCTCCAAAGAATGAACCTCGATCGAATGCATCCATCCAATTAAATGGGATTTGAACTTCAGCTGGTGGGATCTTCTCCTCCAATGCTGCCAGCTGGTCGTAGTACCTTTAAGCATAGAAACATCTTAAAGTGAATTCACTGCCACCTTGGTTTCAAATCTTAGGCCTAAGATCAGAGTTGGGGGATGAAACGGCCTAGCCTAGGCCTAACGTCACTCACTTGTATAAGGCTTCCAAGGAACTTTCATGTTTGTCCAATGTCTTCCAGACGGCATTATTCCGGAGTTTGTTGAAATCCTGGATAGCTTCAGTGTATTTTAGGGATTCCTGGTTATCGGCAGTGCTGAAAATAGATGCGATGATATTCCTCAGTGGTTTCACCAAATCCAAATCTGAAGTCTTTTTCAGCGGGATACAGAGCAACTCCGCCATCATGAACACGTGGTTGCACTTTGAAACAGGAATTGTTTCACCTATGTCTCTTGAACAAATGATAACCAGCGTTAAAAAACTTCACTGATATATTGCTTTAACCCATTTCAGACGGTAGCCAAACCATCACGGTCTTCCTATCAATAATTTTCCGATATTTAAAGGCAAAGTAGCGACAAAGACAGAAAGTTTTTTCGAACAGATGTCTGAAAAATCTGGCAACACTGGTTGCACTAAGCTGGACGTCATCCGTGAGTCAGTATTAATGCTGGCCTTCATCGTGGCGTGAATCTGAGTCATATGATCCTGCTTCACTCAGACGTCATCACCGTTCTCTGACTTTAGCATCACTCTCCGGCTGCGCAGGATTTAATTTAAATGCAGCTTTCTGATGCCTTTGTCTTTCGCGCCATTACCCCGCATGCCGGTGACGTCACTGCTCCGTTGCTTCAGCGGACAATTCACGAAATAGGATCATTCCTAGGTTTTGTTGTAGTCTCTATAGATGGTTTCTGTGAATGCTTTGGCTGTTCTGTCGTTTTGTCGGATTTTTCCCTGTGATCCAATAACATCTGCAGTCGCATCTTGGGCTTGCCGCGTGAAACATTATGCATGTAGGAAGCCTTCCTACTGGACGGAAATTCAAAGAAAAGATAGTGGACATGTCCGGGAAAAACCGGACGTATGGTAACCCTATGCATGAATGATAAGAACGTAAGCGGTATAAAATGAATGCCATCGTTTTGGGAATAAAATGTCTGTAAGGACTAGATGTGGCCTGATATCAGATGTTCCGGTTTCACAATAGAGAGAGGGAAAAAAAAGAAGAAGAATGGAATAGATTCTTTCCCTCTAATTTGGGAATGTGACCACTTAAGGTCGTGTTCCATGTGGGATCCTTGCCTCCTGTTTGCTGAAAGACAAAGTCGATCTCTCAGAGGGATAAAATATATATACTGCAAATGGGGCGACTCGATTTCTTGGGTGACTGTCGCTTGACAGATTCCTGAAGGGAAGCGAGCAGTTGCGACCAGGATGTTTCTTGCAGAAATAGACTTCAAGGAATCGGTCGAAGTCACGGATCAATTGTCTGAGCTCCCCTTTCTTTCCCGAGAGGCCCTTTTTCTAAGTAAATCCATCCGGCTTCGATTTCCTTTGTTCGACACTGACCCTGGCGTACAGAGAGATTTCCCCACTTGACCGGTAGAGAAACGACCCGAGAAGCAGCAAAGGACAAGAACTTCACTCTGCCCTCAATAGATGTCTTTCGTTGAGGAATAAGAGCAAGACATATTCACGCCTGACAGAGAGAGAAATGGACGCCAAAGATGACGTTTATACCCATCTCCACCCGAGGCCTCTCTTTTCAAATTCAACGCCTGAGTTATACCTTTTTCGAAAGCAAGTTGATGAGTGGTGAGGACAGAAAATGGCGCTAGGCCTCGGTAACTGTGCCCACACTCTTAGAAAAGAGTGAGCGATTTCCTCAAAGGGAGCGAAACTGGAGTTAGCGATTTT